TATTCGTTTCTTATTCGTTTCGTTCGTTTGCAGCAAAAGTGACATTTGAGGGGGAAAAAATATTTTTCTCCTTCTCTAATGTCACTTTGCTCCAACGAACGAAACGAATAAGAAACGAATACGAACAGAAAACGAAACGAACGTTCGTGCGAACGCTACCGAATTTCGGAAATGGAAATTCGGATTCGTTTGCATTCGTTATGTCTGTAATTCGGAATTCGAATACATCCGAATGTCCGAATTTACGAAAATTCGTCCGAATTTCGATTCGGAACGAAACGAATCGCACATGTCTAATAAACACCATAGAAGCCTATGGGGCTCTACTGCACAGGCGTGGCTATAGACATGGGCACAGGATGTAAACAATCCCCACAGGCCCGGTCGCTGGATCCCGGTAAGTATAAATCTGCGGAGGGGAACAGTGGGCTTTATGAGGTCAAGGGAGAGGGGCATAAAGAATAAATGCACTTTCCATAAAAGTGCCCATATTCCTTAAGGCACGGTGACATTATAAGAAGTGCCACACCTCAGTAAGATCAGCCCTTAAAAATCCAGGCTGAACAACCAATAAAAAGTGTTTTTGCAATATACATGTTCAAAAAGTCTGGCTTCAGGGCTATCACTGGCTAAAAGAGAGAGTAGATAGACAACAAAATGTCTGACTTCAACAATTATAGAAAACAGAAAATCTCTTAAAGAAAGGCTTTCCTATAAAAAATAAAATACATAAATAAAAGTCACACAAATAATGTTGGATTTTGTTTAAAAATGGTAGTTATGGGGGCGTGGCCAGCAGCCGAATGTGAGCAGACGTCTGTAGGGGAGCTCTCCCGCACTTTATCCTGAACGATACCCGTCGGGCTTTCCGGTACCCGTCTATCCTAACACATCATTTTCCGGACATCAATGTACTAGAAAGTACCATTAAGTCTTCCCGTCCTCTTCTTCAAAAGAGAACCCAGTGGGAAGTATTAGCAGGAGAGGAGTGTCGGAGGGTTTCACAGTGGTAGGTATAGCCAGGAGAGGAGTGCTCGAAGTTATGACAGTGGGCAGTATTACCAGGAAAGGAGGGGATGGGGGGGTGTCAGTGAGAAGTATATACAGGAAAGATATGTCAGAGGGTAAGGTACTGCTGATAATTTGGCTTGGGAACCAGTATCCTGCAAGAAACACTGGTTCAAAAATGTACGAAAATGTACAGAAAAATAAAATAAAAAGTCTGCATTGGCTAGAACAACCATTTTCTGAAGCAGGTTAGAAAAGTAAACAGACTTTTTGCTGAGGTCAATAATATGCATGTTAACATATTGACACAGGAATTCCAAAATAAAATAAATACTCATGGTTACCATGGTAAAAAAAAAACAAAAAAAACCCCACGAAACATTAATTGCCCGCATGCTGGAAAAGGTTTGCTACACAAACGCTAAATGGCTGGATTTACATCTTCGCATTTTTACTTGACGTGTTTTCCATTTAAATAAAATGAAATAGCTTCAAAACGCATCTCAACAGTCAACATATGCGCCAAGATGCACATTATTTGCGCACTGACATGTCCATGCAAGTTAACACAAATGGACGCGTGTCAGCAAATGTTGCTGTGTGTTATGACTTGCACTGAGATCCAATACAATCCATTACAACACATGTTGTAAATATGTGACATCTCATGTTAATGTGTGTTGATGCACGTTGACCTTTATTTCATTGCACTTTAATTATCACTCACTTTTCGATCATTGATTTCAAAGGAAAACAAAATCGGGGTAAAAAAAAAAACAACCGCACAGGTGTAATTCCAGCCCTTAACAGAAGGCGGCGCCCCTGAGAAGAAAGGCACTAAAAGTGAATGTGTGTACTGTAAAGATTCTACAAGCCTTCTCTCTCTTAGATGTCCCAAAATGTCCTGGTGATACCATCTTCTAAAAATACATTACCAAGTAATAAATTCTGTTCCTGATATTCCAAAACTTTCACTGAAATAAAGCAGCATATTACCAGTGTCAACTGAAATAAGGGGGGAAAAAAACGCCAAACGCATGCGCATTTCCTGTTGCCACCATAGCAGTTTACTTCTGGACACAAAATAAGAATTTATATATTACTTTCACCAGGAAATAAAAATTCTGATTACTGATGATTTGAGGTGCGTTTCAGAATCCTACTCTTGAAAAGAAAAACTGAAACCACCGACCAAAAACGCAGAGACGTACAGAATCGGGAAAAAGTGTAAAAAACGTAATGCCACGCCACTAAAATTCAAGGGATGGGCGTGCCCATCGGGGACAAATGTGTGAGAATTTCCACTTGGCACCGAACAAGTTTACTTCCAAACAAAATAAAAAGAAGAGAAAAAAAAAAAAAGTGTTTTCCTGAACCAATAGGAATTTAGCAAAATCTAAAAAAACAAACAAAACCCTTTTGAATGTAATAGATACATTGCTGAAATTTGGCACAGATGTAGGGATCATGCACTAAAAGAATACGAAGCATTCCAAAAAATATTAGACACGTGCGATTCGTTTCGTTCCGAATCGAAATTCGGACGAAATTTCGGAAATTCGTGGATTCGGAGCATCCGAATTTCCGAAATGTACCTTGTCCGAATTCAGCCGGAATTTCGGTTTCAGTACAAATTTCGTCCTAATGGAAACGAAATGAGAAATTTACGATAATGACTTTAATAAAAAAAAAAAAAAGAAGGAGAAGAGGATTTCATAGCATGTGAAGATAAAAACAAAACATTACTTCATGTTCCTGTGCGTGCACCGTCAACATTTGTACGGATAAAATAAAAATTAAGAAAGGGATTTGAATATCCCTTTTAATAGTGAAGACTAGAGCACAGCAACCAGAAATGTCAAATGTGCCAATTCCACTACGTTCGTCCGTTCGCGCAAAACCCCAAATTTCGGAAATTTGTCCAAATTCTGAAAGACAAATCCGATCCAAAAGACAAATCCGATCCAAAAGACAAATCCGATCCAAAAGACAAATCCGATCCAAAAGACAAATCCGATCTGAATCAGATCCGAATCCGAAACCCAAAACGAAAAACACATACAGGACCCGATCTCCGAAATGAAACTATTTTTTTGTGGCTGCACATGTCTAAAAAATATATATATTGGGGAAAGAAAAAGAATTGTGAAA